GTCTTTGACAGGGCTTAGGTACCTGAGGTTTTGCTGCTTGCATATTAAAAAAATAGGCAGATCACATATATCTCTCAGCTCAATGTGTATTTTACGCTATAGATGCAGATGACCATGCCAACAAGGATTCAACCCATGCATAAATACCTGGTTAAGGATTTCGAGTATGGACGATAACTAGGCTTGGGCAACATGTGTTAGATTCCTGACATGCTTTCTCAGGGTAAAACTTTTCACTTTGTGACTGTAGTTTAATCAATTAATGGTCAAGTGTCTCCGCTGCCATAGTCTTCTGCAGAGACAAAAGAGAAAGGTACAGCTGGACTTTCTGGAGCAAGGTGCATGTTCTCTATGTCCCTGCCGTGGGATATGTTGATCATTTCCTTTTTTAGTTCATTAGTTCCAATTACTTTGGAACAGGGCTACCTGTTCAAGCTGAAAGAGGTAGTCAGGAAGCCAGGCTGTATTAAGGTCCACTTAACACCTGTTATGGCCCAGCTGTAGATCTGGCCTTGGCTTTGTCATCCATAATGTAGTCAAATATTCTTTTCTCATTCTTTGATTTTTCCCTCTTACCAGTAAAGGCATGGTTTGTTTATCTGTTGGGAGGGAGCTGAAGTAGTGCTAGGTATGCCTTGCCCTTACGTGGCCATGCTCTGAGTCTGAAGGGGGCAGGACAAAGCACACCACATTACAGGGTATGACGAAGGGAAAAAGTTCTTTTGATTTCAGATGATACACATATATCATACACGTCAATTACACACTTCAGGAACTGCTAGGTAATCTTTGTTTCATAATTAAGATAACCCTTAACTTTAGCAATGTCTTTTCCCCTCCTGGAATTTGCTGACACACTGATTACACCTCAGCCTGGTGTAATCCTGGAATAAGCAACAGGCGTCTGTCCTAGAGACAAACAGACTCTTCAAAGTACTGTTCTGATTCATTCCTGGAGCTGGTTGATTATGTGTATTGGATGGAGACTGGAGAGCTCTGAAGAATTACTATGGTTGTGTAATTAAAAACTAGCATAATGCATATGCACAAAAATGTAAAATGAATGTAAAATGCAAATTATTGTATTTTCTCATTTTAGTGTCTTGACTCTGCAGTTATTCTTTGGCAAAGTTACTATTGGATTTTTTTTTGTTTTTTATTTTTTAATTAACAGATTATAGACATGGTATTTTGTGACATTTTTAATCAGCCTTACAAGTAAAATATTTGAAGGTAGAAAGTTGAGACCCAGATTCAATTGGAGATCCATTTCATTATGTGATCCTTCAGAAATCTGATCCTGCATTTGTAATTTTTCACCATGCTTAACATATACACTTTGAAGTCTATGTCATGGATGAATGTATAGGTAACTGTGAAGGGCTGGGATTTAAAGTTCTGGGACCCGTATCTTCTCTAAGAGTTGTTATTACTAAGCTGTTTTTCTTTCTTTTAAGACAAGACTATTGTAAGAACTGAAATATGCTGCCATGTACACGAGAAGCTAACAAGGAAGGAACTGCTGTCTGTACACAGCAAAAGTACAATCCAACATGGGCAGGCTGGACTTAATCTTTTGCTAACTTAATGATTGCTGTGTAGCCAAAGGCAGTGCCTTGTAGCTGGAGATTCTCTTTTGTCTGTAATGTAGTTTATCTAAGTAGGTCTTAGGATCTTTGTCTTCTCTAGAAGATCCCAGCAGACTTTCCAGACTTGCTAGATTTTCAAACTGCTTTTCCAAGTTTTTTATTCTGCTTTATCATTCTGTAGTTCATATTTGAATTTCCATTCATGGTCCTCATCCCAGAACTTCCTTGCAGAGTTCTCATGTGCTACTAAGGACCTTTATGAATCGTTTCCATTGTTGGGATTGTTTGGCAGTAGATCGATAGCCTGTGGAAACAAAGCAGAGGGCAAATCCGGGAGATGGAACAGTATCAGCTCACAAAACCAGGAGAACCTGTTTATGCTGAGAAATAAGGAAACATCATCCTGTGCGTGTGTGTGCAGAAGCACCAGGCTTCTTGGAAGAAATTGTTGAATTGAGGAGACAGTCTTCAAATCTGCTGAGTACGAATCAGTTACTACTGAAATGAAAGCCACTAAGAAAAATGGTAGTAGCCCTTTTATCTAGGACCTAGAATGCTAGCCCTGACTTGTTTGTTTTGTCATCCACACTACAAAATCTGTCATCAGCATGCATTATACTTATGCACATGCCACTACATACTTATAAAAATCTGTTGTGTCTAAATTTCCTTTACTTGATTTAGCTTGCTCAAGTACTATAATGGGAAGTGTTACAATTGCCTAGGTAAAGGGTTTTGATTAAATTGATCTTCCTGTGACCAATATAGGTCTAATTTCATCTTGAAAATATTTTGCAGGTTTGTACGCCCCTTAAAAGTTAGAAAGATCCTATATTCTAGCAAACCTGCCCCATATAGCCTTGCCTTTGATGCTATGATTTTTTTTTCTCCCCTTTTTTCACATGCATCCATGTGCACAGCTCTTTGGGAAGTTTTAGGACAAAGTAGGACCTCCCAGGGATTTGCTGCTATAGTAGCATACTTAAAATATAACATAAGTATGTTAATAAAGGACAATTACATTCAATTTGTAGGCTGTGTCCTCTTCTGAACTCACTCCTTCCGGTCTCTAAGACTGTAATCTCAGAAATGTTTAAAGCTGGAATAAACTGTCATTGCGGCAAAAGCACCAGTCCTGCCCTTTTGCTCTCCTGCCAGCGTTGGTTTTGCCAGCTCAGCTCTGCTACAGCTGTATAGTAAACCAGATAGGGGATTGATCTGACCAAACAATACTTCTCCGCCCCTATTTAGGCTGTAACCTGTATGTTTGCTCTCATATTTTCTCTTCAAAAAGATGCCGTAGTTCAGTACTGTAACACCTGACCTCATTACATATTCACAGTACAGATATTTAAAAGGTATTTTAAAAAACCAAATAGAAAAAGATGACTAAAATTCTTGCTTTGAAGGAATAATATAGATCCTATTTAATCAAGTTACTAATGTATCACAAGAATAGAATTTTTTTTATATCCAAGTTACACTTTTTCTTTTCAATCTAGCCTTGCATTTCTCTTAAGGAAGTGAATATGAAATAAAACAAACTCTTCTCTCCTACTACATGTTACCAAGCAGTGGGTTGTTTTAACCAAAATAAAGTTTTCTGTTAGGAAAAAAATTACCTCAGGGTTTTGGTTTTTTTAGTTTGTTGGGTTCCCCTTCCCTCCCCCCCGCCCCTCCCCTCCCCCATCTATTTTAGATCTCCTGGGCATAAATTATTTTATATTCCATATGTATTGATCCACATGGATAGGTGACCAAGTATTCTTTTAAATACAGTATACAAATGTTGACATTCTAAGCAGCTGTGGAAGACACAAAAATCATCAACAATGAAAACTGAACATTGGTGAGCTCATTTGAACTTTAGTGCTTAGTACAGCTTCTCACAGAAATCAAGTAGGATTCTTTGGGCATCATGTTTGACTGCCCAAAAGTGCTCAATAGATTAAATAAATGTGTGAAGAAAATAATGCTAGTTCACTTACAGAAAATACAAACTTACCATGTTGGAGAAGGGAAGTTGGATCTTTGGTGTAGAGTAGGCAGACTGTGGCAATGTGAGATTTTTGGCAGTAGGAAGATCTGTATTTCAGAGGTTTCTGTAACAGCAAACTTTTAATAATGTGTATTTATTTGAATTCCAGAGCAGGTATATTAAAAGAAAGCTTAATTATACCAGTTAACTCATTTTCTCCTTTACTTCTATTTAAAGATAACATAAGAAAAAACATTTTCAAGAGAAATAATACTTAATAGAACAAAACTTGTGTTACATTTTCTATGGGTACTGCTGCTTCTTGTCTGAGGATTTTAGAGTTTATTCTATCAAGCAAGAAGATTATCTTGTAGTAACCAACATGTGGAAAATATTGTTCCAGGAATTTTGAGGGCATATTACAATGAAGGTTTCAGTTTGCACAACAGAATATTACACCACTCTCTATTAATTGTAGCATAATATAGTAGTTTTTCTTTGTTGACTTTTACATACTTATGCTGTACTTTTTTGTTAATGGTAGAGATGAGAATAAGAAAATTAATGGTTTTTAGAAACTATCTGACTGCAATAAGGGGACAGTTCTGTTATGCTGTGCGATTGTATATGTTACTCTAGATATGTGGGCAGGGATAGATTGTTCCCTCCATAAGATTGTTCCTGAACTTTGATACTGGCTATTTTAATAGGCCTGCTAAAGTTTGTTTGTGTTTGGTGGTTTTTTTTTCTTTTTCCCTTTTGCTTACTTGAAAAAACAGAAGCTGAACTACAGCAAATTAAAAATGAGAGATTCAAACAATACAAATCAACACTTGCTCAGGTTTTGAGTGCCGTAATCTGAAAGTGTTGCATATCCTATCTTGCTTTTTGTTTTGTCTTGCACCTAGTGCACTTTCCTTAAACCCGTTAGATTCATGTTAGACATTTGAACAATTACTTGATACTTTCTGGAACAAATGTGCCTGCTGGCATCTTGAGCATTGTTTGCTTCTGTTCTGATGTTAAGGTAGCACTGTGACAGAAGGCAGATGATGAAGCTGTAAACCAAAAGACTCTGAAACAGTTTCACTTATCCAGTGTAAACATCAATATTGCATTATTTCTAAAGTTCTTATTTAAATGACAATTTTTAGAATTAACTGTTGTTTGTATATATACATATTTTTTAGAAGTATTAATAAGCCTCTCTGCATAGCTGTACAGGTGAAAGCAGCAGTTGCAAAATGAAGAGTATAATTTTAACAACTGTAGGATTATATTTATCAATTTTTTTGTAATATAAAAAGTTCTATCAAGAAGAAATGTAGAATTGGATGCTGGAGTTTTATAAAATAAGAAATGAGCCTGTGCTAGAAAAATATTTTTTCTATAACAGTCTTTCCTTTTTTTTTTTTATTTTTTTTTCCTTCTAGGACCGGAATAGGCCCTATGACACTTTTAACTTGCACTCTTTGGAAAATTCCTTAATGGATATGATAAGGACTGATCATGAGCCTCTGAAAGGTAAACACTACCCTCCCAGTGGCCCACCAATGAGTTTCGCTGATATAATGTGGAGGAATCATTTTACAGGTTAGGAATATTCATATGTCCATGCTTGCTTGGTGTTTAAACAAAAATCAGCTTTTCAGTATTGCTATAAACTTTTTGCTAATGAATGAGTTGTCAGTTATGTAAAAATTCTGTTTTCCCATCTAAAGATAGTTATCTCTACTGTAGGAAGACAAGGTGAAATGTGTATACATTTATTGTAAGTGCACAACCATAATATTGTCTAACTGGTATTTCCAAAACTTGGTTTTGTGCATCAGCAAATTGCACAGCTGGGTCTCCTGCTGCAGTCACTCAGTTCAGGAAATATGTAATGCAACTGGATTCCAATTGTTATGTTCAACATCTTAGTCAAAGTTAATACTACTCTTACTTTTGGACCATCAGCAAGTATACAGGGTTCTAAAACAACCACTGTATCAAGCTTACTCTCTACAGTTGTTTAAGGTTTCTTTTAAAAAAATGTATCTTAATTTGGATTTCAGATTGTTAGGAGGAGCCAAAAACTATAGATGATGTTAAGTGCTGGGAAAGTTTTCATTATTTATGCTATGAAACTGTGTTCTACCAGGTGTAGCATTGGAGATGAAACTATTTCTAACACTTAGCTGATACTGAATAGTGAAAGGTTTTGGCAGCATTTCAATTAATAAATATTCCTGATCGACCTGCACACTCTGTTTTAATCTTTCATTGGTTAAGTTCAAATATAGGTACACATTCTTGTTCCCATGCATTCTTGCTGACTTTGAAGACTGAAGCTAATAGTAAGCCATATACAGAGGAAGTATTGAGCTAGAAATGATTCCTAAACTCGTAAGTCAGGACACTGGCACTGACAGAGAAGAAATTTGTGTATGGCGGTTCCTATGCTAATGCTTATGCACATACTTTCCTGATGTCACGACTGCCTCATTTGTTCCCCTCCCCATTTATGTATTACATGTTGAAAAATATTTTTTCTTTGCCTGTCTTGTGCCTTTTTCACCATCTTCCTGGGTACAGAGTTGTTTACAACCATACTAAACTGGGTTCTGTACTCTCAGCTCTTTTAATCTGTGCTTTCCACTATTACCTTGAAATTTGCAAGAAATCCTGTCTCATATCTATTCTGATCATAGCACTCTAAAATAAGTGTTAACCTGAAACTTATAAAAAACCAAGCTCAACAAAACTGAAATTTCTGCTGGATATACATTTCATATGGCTAGTATTAAAAAAATATTGCTAGTAAGTAGATTTAAGTATTTATTGTACCTTATTAAATGTGCTGTAATTAGCTATGTTTTTTATAACCAGTATTTATTTAAATATACAATTTGAGACTTAAATTTTTTAAAGACTGAATTTCCATATGAACTTGAGCATGGAAAAAATTAAAAAGATTGGATTAGAAATTGTATTAGTCCAGAAAGAGACTTTAACATCATATAAGTGCAATTTTGCTTATATTTTTATTATTGTCTCTTTATAACCATTTTAAAAAGTTTTTTCATCAGAATATTAGCACATAAAGTAACAATGGGTACAAGTCTAATTCTTTTGTGTTGTTGGGTCATTCTTTCAAGAATAGTTTCCAATACTCAGCTGAGCTAGTCTATGGAAGCATTGCAAGTGGCATATTCCACAGCTGCGCCTGAGTGTCATAATGCTGTTTAATGCTAGTGTTTGGCATGAGGTAGAAATTAAATTCTTGGTTTCATTAAACATCTTCATGCTTTTCAAGAAAGTATCCTTTCCAAAGCAAACTTAATATGTTCATCTCTACTAGGTTATCAGTCTATGTAGGAGACTGACTAGTTTGAGTGGACGTTTGAAAGCAGTAGGAACAGTTTCTTTCTGCTCCCAAAGTAAAACCAAAGAGTTGAGTATTAATGGTAAAGTCTGAGTTGATATTTTCCATTTGCCAGTGGGACTGTTAGCTTTACTTTTTGTCTAACAGACATTTCTGTCACTTACTGGATGTGCTCTATCTCATTTTCTCACGCAGCGCTGCTCACCTGTTTTGGCCTTCCTGCCTTGTTACTTAGCTCTCTTCTAGCTTCCAGTCCAGTAACTGTTGGAGAAGTCTTGTTTACTATTAGTTATCTCTTTCTGTCTCTGCCCAGCTGGTTTTTCTCCCATTGATACAGTTAATGTCTTGCTTTATTTCCCTCCTCCCTCTAACTACAGGGCTTACTTTGCTAACCTCCAGCCTTGGCTTGACCTGGTGTGCACTTTCCTCTACTCCTGTTTTCACACTATGCAGCATGACTGGCAATGTTCATAGGAACGGCTGTTTCAGGACATGTTCATTCTCCCTTCCAAGAAGTGTTGCCTTCCTCTGTGTTAAACAGATCTATGTTACTATTTTTACTGAATTCTCTTCATAAAAACCAGACTATTTTTCTGCAAACATTGATTGATTCCTGAAATCACTTTCCTATTGCATTTTTGTTGTTGCCTTTTCTGCGAAAATCGGTCTTGACTCTTCCCCTGTATCTCCAACTTTCTGCTTCTCCTCTACCAAAGATGCAGGTTTTCAACTCCTTCCCTGAACCTTGCTCAGATTTCACTTAATCTTGTTGTCTTAACTCACTTGCTTTTTTCTTATTTATCCCATTCTTCTCTGGCTCTCCCTCTTAAAAGTAGCAGCATATTTTAGTCTGTAATCATCTTGAGAAAGTAAGTCATTAACTCTGCTTGCTTTTGCTTGTTTTTTAAGTCATTGTCACATTTTCATTTATTATCACCTGTAAGCTTTTTGAATATACTGGTTATGTACCTCAGCTTGATTTTTCAGTTCCTCATAGACATTCCTGTGTGACTGCCTCTTGTGCGAAATTTCAACTGCTTTCTGGAATTTTATTAACTTAAACCAAATCTCAGAGCTACCTCCTCTTCAGTTTACCTCCTCTGACTTTCATAGTAAACTGGGTGTGGTTTTCCCTTTAAATCTTCCCTTCCTCTGGCATCTGTGACTGTCCTCTCTTAGGTTTGTGCAGATTTTTCTTGTGTAGATAGAAAGTAAAACAACCACAAAAATTCTGGTTTAAAAAACAAACAGACAAAGAAAAACAATGAGGTGGCTCTCAAATGATTTTTTTTAAATCGTTCACCTTTTTGTAAAGGAGCCTTGTTTTCTCGAACAATTTTAGCGAACAGCACTTACATGTCTGTTGGCCTTATATTTATGTGCTGGTTTTGCCTGGGATGGAGTTCATTTACTTCATAGCAGCTAGTATGGGGCTATGTTTTGGATTTGTGCTGAAAACAGTGTTGTTAACACAGAGGTGTTTCGGTTACTGCTGAGCAGAGCTTATACAGAGTCGAGGCCTTTTCTGCCTCTCACCCACCTCACTGTCGAGGAGGCTGGGCGCGCACAAGAAGCTGGGAGGGGGCACAGCCAGGACAGCTGACCCCAACTGACCCAAGGGATATCCCACACCATATGACGACATGCTCAGCACATAAAGCTGGGGGAAAAAAGGAGGAAGGGGGGGATGTTCAGTGATGGTGTTTGTCTTCCCAAGTAGCCATTACGTGTGATGAATCCCTGTTCTCCTGGAGATGGTTGAGCACCTGCCTGCTGATGGCAATTAGTGAATGAATTCCTTCTTTTGCTTTGCTTGTGTGCACAGCTCTTGCTTTACCTGTTAACTTGTCTTTATCTCAAGCCATGAGTTTTCTCACTTTTACTCTTCTTACTCTCTCCCACTTCTCACCAGGGCGGGAGTGAGCGAGCGGCTGTGTGGGGCTTAGTTGCTGGCTGGGGTTAAACCACGAGAATTTATTATCCAAATTTTTACACAGAAGGGGTGAAAATATGAGTACCAAAAGCCTCTGATTTTGAAAACACAGATTTAATTCTAGAAAAGCTTGGAGCCTCCAATGGATGTTACAAAGCCGTTGCAGCTATTTCAAGACCATTTCAGCCTGCCGCTGGCAACAAAGCCTTCAGCAAATGCATATTTTTTAGAAGTACTGTCTGTATATGTATTCATTAGTAAAATACTGCAGGTGGTTTATCTGAAGTTTGAAACTTTGCTTGGAACATAGTCCCTCTTGGCATACGTGCCCCCTCACATCCCAGGAGATGCTTGAAATAAAAAATAATTATCTTGGATATAGAACAAAGGCTCTAGATTAGAATGTGGATGGGAGGGTTAACCATAAAAGATTCTGATGTGAAGACCAAATTGAAATGGTTCTGGGGTATTTTCTTCTCATTTTGGGGTTTAAGTTCCTTATGCTCTGCATTGTTCAGTGGTGGTAGTGGAGAAGAAGCTCAGGGGGTGAGCAAGGAAGAGTCTACCCTCTTGTTTGTAGTAGTTGAAGCTTCATACCTTCTCTGAATTGGAGGTATGATCAGACTTTGTCCTGCAGGCCATGGAAATTGAGTTTATTTCAAGGTCACCAAAGCAGGTAACTTTTTTAAAAGCATGATCCACTTGGCCTTGAGAGGGCATGTGATTAAGTGACTCTTTTTGGCGGGTGTTGCTTTCAAGTGTGGAACAAGAGAAAGGCTGAAGGATTGTTAGTGCATCAGAAACTAACTGATCCTCAGTCTTGCCATATTGAATTACTTATATTGAGCGAATGCTAACTCAGTCTGATTGGCAGGGTGGCTTGGTGTTCTCCAGCTAGGAGAGCTAGGGTCACTTAGTTCTTTTTGGGTGTTTCTTGCTGTAAGAGAGATTTGATACCTAGCTCTGAGGTTTCTGGACTTAGATAAATTACCAGCTTATCTATCTATGTTGCATTTTATCTTGAGCCCAATTTTAGGAGAAGGTGTTTAGTGTCAGCTCCTATTCTGTTTGTCTAAAACTGATATTTTTTTTTTTTTTCTTCAACTTTTCCTACCACATAGGGGTACATTGCTGTAGGATCCTATCTTTCTATCCTTGTAGTCTGGAAGCTGTGTAACTTTACAAATTCTTCGCTATTTTCATGCTTTGGGATCTAAAGAATGC